GTACCGGAAAAAAATATCGGTACTCATACTCAATACCGAAAAAACAGTATCAGTGCATCCCTAATTATCAGAAGCAACTCCACTATGTATTCCTATTACTATGCTGATGTCATTGCAGGAGAGGAGATGCTGGGACATTACAATTCCTTTAACACACTGAGTGGACTTTCTGGCTTTAGTAGCTCCCTGATTTGTTTCCCCCCTCATTGCGCGGATCGGCTCCCTGTATGGCGTTGCCGCTGGAGATCGCACGGCGGGTGTTGCAATGACATCCGGAGTTCACACTGTGTGAATAGATGGCGGCACACATGCACATACAGGTTCTAGGCAGGTGAATGTGTCAGTCAGAGGAGATCTGGAAGTGGCGGCCTCTCCCTGACACTGCAGAACAATCCAGATAATGAAGTATTTAGAACCGGATCATAAAAGCTGCTAATCCTTATAAACTAACATATAATAATCATAATCCCCATAGGGATTAGCAGGATCATCTGTCACTCATGTCTCCAGACTCTGCACTCCCTCTATGAGACTCATCCCGAGATCTTCCCATACAGAGAAACTTTTCCTGCCCCGCCGGAATCATGTGAACAAACCGCTGACGCCAGAATCATATGCGCCGCCGCTGTCAGCCGCGACACACTGCCGAGGTGCACATGAGCTGTCCTCACATTTATTAAAGTGGAACTGGAGCCAAATCTTTATTTTGTTTAGTTTTGTACAGAGTAAGGGAAGGTTAGAACCCCTGCCAGCAATCTGTGTCCCCATTGGGGAGATTTCCCTTCACTTCCAGTCCAATAGCCCCAACAGGAAGTGAGAGGAAATCCCTCCAAAAGGAAGGGTAATCGCTGGTGGTCAGCAGAACTAGTGTCCCCATTGGAAGATGTATTACTTTCCCCAACTGGGGAGATTTCACCTTCACTTCTAGTCCAACAGCCCCAACAGGAAGTGAGAGGAAAGCCCTGCAAAGAGAGGGAAATCGCTGGTGGTCAGCAGAACTTGTGTCCCTATTAGAAGATGGATTACTTTGTCCAATTTGGAATATTTCCCTTCACTTCCTGTCCGATAGCCCCAACAGGAAGTGAGAGGAAATCCATCCAAAGAGAGGGAATTCGCTGCTGGTCAGTAGAACCAGTGTCCCCATTGGAAGATTTGACCATTATTCTTGTTCTGGTGACAACCCAAAATTTCAGTGATAACTTGACGGGGGGTCTGATCCCTCTCCACTCCATCCAAAAGAAGAACTGAAGCCCAAACCTTTTTTCTTTTTAATTTTAGAGAGAATAAGCGCAGGTTATAACCCCTGTCAGCTTTTTTTCCTTCCGTTTCCCCCATTATGGAGATTTTCCTTCACTTCCTGTCGGACATCCAGAACAGGAAGCGAGAGGAAATCCTTTCAAAGAGAGGGGAATTGGTGGCGGTCACCAGAACTAGTGTCCCCATTGGAAGATGGATTACTTTGTCCATTTGGGGAGATTTTGCTTCACTTCCTGTATGATAGCCCCAACAGGAAGTGAGAGGAAATCCCTCCAAAGAGAGGGAAATCCCAGAACTAGTGTCCCCATTGGAAGATTTCCCATCTATTCCTGTTCTGGTGACAAACTAAACTTTTGGGATTTTCTTTCTCTTTCACTGTTGGCATTTTTTTTTACTCCCAGTGACATGGAGGCGTTTTAGTTTCCCAATTGGTCATAGTCTGGCCCACCCGAAAGTCTGAAGGACTTTCTTTTGTTTAATAATTTTGGGACCCCCAAGACAGAGGAGAGGGGGTGAGGACGAGGGTCATAACTTGATGGCTGTGCAGGGTTTTTTTTTAAAGTAAAGAATAACAAAGAAAAGAATAAAGCGATACAATGTAACAATGAGAGTGTAACGTGCTGACTCGGCGCATTTTCTAGCTGATGCAATTGGACGGAAAGCTAGAACCGGCGCCTGCGCATGGTGATTACACACGGATTACTGCAACCCGATTGTATCTGCCGCGAGCTCATCATCTGTGCAGCTGTTCTTCTACAGGGAAGACACAAAGCCCGACCACAAGAATGCGATAATAAAAGAGGACGCAGCAGCCTGAGGTCACGTCATGTGATCACGTCTGTACACAACTGCTGATAAGCACTGTATCCGCTGTGCACATTCACTGACATTACAGGACATGTAAAGTCCCAGCATCTCCTCTCCTGTTATGACATCAGCAGTGTGATAGGGATACATAGTGGAGTTGTCTCTGGTAATACAATCAAAGCTTACATGAAAAAATCCCTTTTACGTAGTGAGCGCCGCCTTCCGTCTGCCCATCGCTTCCAACAACTTCCTGGATCACCAGTGTACTTTGCGTCCCTTTCCCTGCTGCTCGATGTGATGCAATCTCCATTTCTCAAGACCACATATCCCATCATGCATTGCTTCCAGCAAGCAAATCAGTGCAGAGGTGCATTAAAATGTAATGAACAACGCAGGGATCAGTAATATGAAATGCAGAGTGCAAGGGTTAGTAGTAAGCAACACAGAGTGCAGGGATCAGTAATATGAAATGCAGAGTGCAAGGGTTAGTAGTATGCAACACAGAGTGCAGGGATCAGTAATATGAAATGCAGAGTGCAAGGGTTAGTAGTATGCAACACAGAGTGCAGGGGTCAGTTGTACGTAATGCACAATGCAGGGGTCAGTTGTAGGTAACACAGAGTGCAGGGGTCAGTTGTAGGTAATGCACAATGCATGTGTCAGTTGTATGTAATGCACAATGCAGGTGTCAGTAGTATGTAACACAGAGTGCAGGGGTCAGTTGTATGTAATGCACAATGCAGGGGTCAGTTGTAGGTAACACAGAGTGCAGGGGTCAGTTGTAGGTAATGCACAATGCAGGTGTCAGTTGTATGTAATGCAGAGTGCAGGGGTCAGTTGTATGTAATGCACAATGCAGGGGTCAGTTGTAGGTAACACAGAGTGCAGGGGTCAGTTGTAGGTAATGCACAATGCAGGTGTCAGTTGTATGTAATGCAGAGTGCAGGGGTCAGTTGTATGTAATGCACAATGCAGGGGTCAGTTGTAGGTAACACAGAGTGCAGGGGTCAGTTGTAGGTAATGCACAATGCAGGTGTCAGTTGTATGTAATGCAGAGTGCAGGGGTCAGTTGTATGTAATGCACAATGCAGGGGTCAGTTGTAGGTAACACAGAGTGCAGGGGTCAGTTGTAGGTAATGCACAATGCAGGTGTCAGTTGTATGTAATGCAGAGTGCAGGGGTCAGTTGTATGTAATGCACAATGCAGGGGTCAGTTGTAGGTAACACAGAGTGCAGGGGTCAGTTGTAGGTAATGCACAATGCAGGTGTCAGTTGTATGTAATGCAGAGTGCAGGGGTCAGTTGTATGTAATGCACAATGCAGGGGTCAGTTGTAGGTAACACAGAGTGCAGGGGTCAGTTGTAGGTAATGCACAATGCAGGTGTCAGTTGTATGTAATGCAGAGTGCAGGGGTCAGTTGTATGTAATGCACAATGCAGGGGTCAGTTGTAGGTAACACAGAGTGCAGGGGTCAGTTGTAGGTAATGCACAATGCAGGTGTCAGTTGTATGTAATGCACAATGCAGGGTCCAGTAGTAAGCAATGCAGGGGTCAGTTGTATGCAAGGCAGAGCTCAGAGGTCAGTAGTATGTAGTAACAAACAGTGCAGGGGTCAGTTATATGTAATGCACATTGTAGAGGTCAGTAGTAACTAACATGC